ATTCTAACGGCTTCAATCCTTAATCTTGATGGAGTTACATCTTAACGTCTTAGTGATTAGTGACTTGACGAACCTTGTTGGTTTAAAGCCTTAGCGTCTCAATGACTTCTAATCTTTAACAACCTTCAGGGCGTCAAATAGCAAGGGCTCAAACATCTTCAGAATCTCCAAAAATATTCCTGGCGTAAAATCAAACATATTCTGGCTGAAAACCTTAAATCCGTAGTTTGCTTAACGTGTTAAAACCTCAACGGCCTAAATTATGAAATTGTACTGACTTGCAAGCTTGGTCTTTTTGGCTTCAGAACTTAGAACCTGACCAAAATAACAGTTTCAGATCTTAGTATCTTAAGCGCACCGTAGAATCTTTATGGAGTAAAATCTTACAATCTTAGTGGCTTCACGTGTTCAAATCTTCATCGCTTAAAGTATTGACATCTTAATGGGCTCAAATCTTCAAACCTTAGTGACTACCAATCTTATTTCTTGATGGCTTAACCTCAAACCTACTACTGGATTAACATCTAAACATGGTAATAGCTGAACATCTTAGATGCCACAAGACACGAATAGGGACCTTTCACTTCAGCATCTTCACCCCCTTTTTCCACAATCTCATCCAGATCATGCCAGTGATGTTGGTGATGCTGGCGATGCTGCGCTGGAGCTGCTGAGGATCCAAAAGCGGACACGGGGAAATCGAACACCCTAGTGTCACGTCCCTCGTATGAAATGATTTGATCTACGAAAAGGGAGCGTTTAGGAATCATCGCGTGGCACATAGCCGCCGAAACCGTGCTTAATTTTGAAGGGGTAACAAGTGAAGAGGTAACGAGCAGTTGTTGTCCTAGGGCTTCGCCATCACCAGCTGCGCTGGCCGGTCGGACAGGTGGCACTGGGACCTTGTTTCAGAGCCTGATCCGGACCACCCAAGCACACGCTCGCTGCGAACCTACACGCGCAAGAGGCTGCAAGGTTCCTTGCCCAACCCCCCTGACACTGAGCGTGCGCATGTGTGCCTGCTTGCGTCCGGCGCTTGCGTTCGGGGCGCGCACTTATCTCCAAAGACCATCCCCGGCAGCCAGTCCCAGTCCCACAGAAACCGGTGAACAAATGAAGAAAAACACGGTATCGGTATGCGCGATGTTTTCCGCACAGCACTTGCGCAAGAAAAACCGCTCACTCGATCGCAGGCTTGCCCACAATGTCCGCCTACCACCAAAACCTACTCTCAGAGTGCCATTTTTGAAGGGTTTGAGCGATGCAGGGGATGCAGGGGATGCTGGAACGCCCAGATGCTGGTGATGCAGGGAATGCCGGGGATGCTGGCGAGGTTTGCGAGGATGCAGAGGATGTTGGCGGGGATGCTGGCGTGTCCGGGGCGATTCGCACGGTATTTACAGTGTTTTTGAAGGTCGCCGTCTCAAGGCCTGTTTTGGGGTCCAAGTGTTTGGGCCGGCCTGCGTGTCGGTGATGCAGGCAATGCTGAGGAGGAGCTTGGGGTGCAACAAAACACGTCAGCGGTAACCCGGTATACCCTACGGGTAGGGTTGCCTCGCTCTTCGAGCTTGAAGACACACAGCGCAGCTGGATTTCCAATGCGGCATTTGTTGTCGGCGGGTTTTTCCCCCTGCTGAATCTATCATTGCTGGACATTTTTCCAGGGGGCTTAAGCAAATTCAGGTTATGTGGATCCAACTGCCACCGTTAGCCTGCTAAATGCCAAAAGCCCGTCACACGCATCACAACATAACGAGTTTTCGACTGTGTGTGCTGGGGGGCACATGTCGGCTTGAGTTGGCAGACTGCGCCTCCGGCAGCTCCTAGCACATTTTGGAGAGATGATGTTGGCACAAACTGACAAAATGGACAACATGGAAGTTTGTCGGTGGAATTGTGTTTGATGCTGATTGGTCAACAGCTGAAGCTTTCCAAGGGCGCCGTTTGTTGGTGAAACAGATTTGGAGGGGTATTTCTTTCAGGATTTGTTTTTTTGTTTGAATTTTGTTCGCTTTTGGCTTCTTGGCTTCTTGGCTTGGCTTTTTGGCTTCTTGGCTTTTTGGCTTCTCGGCTTCTGGGCTTTTTGGCTTTGGCTTGTCGCATCCTCTGCATTCCCAGTTCCTCTTCGGCAGGTGGCGTTTTGGCTTTTGCGTTTATGCGGCTTTTGGCGGCTTTGGCTTTTCGCATCCTCTGCTTTCACAGTTCCTCTCTGGGCTTTTTGGCTTTTGCACCCTTTCATTGGTTTTTGGATTTGGCTTCCCGTCACCAGTTCCTCCCTATTTGAATCAACACTTCTTCAACCATCTTGGGGGGGGGCTGCCGTCCTCCCCAACCCCCCCGCTACTTTTTAGCTTTCTTGCAGAGATTGAATTGCACCCCTATTTGAATCATCACTTTTTCGAGCGTTCAATTTCGCAAGACAAAATGCTGCAAAATAGGATATTTTAAATCTCATCACTTCTTCCGACATCATGGGGGGGGCTGCCGCCCCCCCCAACCCCCCTACTTTTTAGACTTTTTGCAGAGTGAATTGCACCCCGATTCGAATCATCAATTCTTCAACATCATGGGGGCTGCCGCCCCCCCCAACCACCCCCCCCCCCCAACTTTTTAGACTTTTTGCAGAGATTGAATTGCACCCCTGTTTGAATCATCACTTTTTCGAGCGTTCAATTTCGCAAGACAAAATGCTGCAAAATAGGATATTTTAAATCTCATCACTTCTTCCGACATCATGGGGGGGCTGCCGCCCCCCCCAACCCCCCTACTTTTTAGACTTTTTGCAGAGTGAATTGCACCCCGATTCGAATCATCAATTCTTCAACATCATGGGGCTGCCGCCCCCCCCCCCCCCAACTTTTTAAACTTTTTGCAGAGATTGAATTGCACCCCTATTTGAATCATCACTTTTTCGAGCGTTCAATTTCGCAAGACAAAATGCTGCAAAATAGGATATTTTAAATCTCATCACTTCTTCCGACATCATGGAGGGGGCTGCCGCCCCCCCCCAACCCCCCTACTTTTTAGACTTTTTGCAGAGTGAATTGCACCCCGATTCGAATCATCAATTCTTCAACATCATGGGGCTGCCCCCCCCCCAACCACCCCCCCAACTTTTTAATTTTTTGCAGAGATTGAATTGCACCCCTGTTTGAATCATCACTTTTTCGAGCGTTCAATTGCAACAAAATGCTGGTCAGGATATTTTAAATCTCATCACTTCTTCCGACATTGTGCGGGCTGCCGCCCCCCCAACCCCCCTACTTTTTAGACTTTTTGCAGAGTGAATTGCACCCCGATTCGAATCATCACCAAACATCATGGGGCTGCCGCTCCCCCAACCCATTTCCCCCAACTTTTTTTAGACTTTTTGCAGAGATTGAATTGCACCCCTGTTCGAATCATCACTTCTGCGAACATCATGGGGGGGCTGCCGCCCCCCCCAACCCGTTTTTCAGGGACTGAAATGCCCTCCTGTTTGAATCATCATACCCACGATTTGTTGGTGATGCTAGGGATGTTGGTCGGACATGTGGGGGATGTTGAAAACGATGCTGGGGATGTTGACGCGCTAGTGTGAAATGCGTCAATTTCGCGAGAAAATACGAATTTACTGGCCCGGACGAAAAACGGGAGCAAAAACAACACCAGAAAAAATCGGGAAACAAATCCGCACCCAATAGAGTTTGATGCTGATAGATCAACAGCTGAAGCTTTCCAAGGGCGCCGTTTGGTTTGTGGAATTGCTTTTGATGCTGATAGGTCAACGCCTGAAGCTTTTTGAGCGCGCCGTTTGTTGGATGTGTTTTTGATGCTGCTAGGTCAATGCTGAAGGTTTGCAAGGTTGCGTTTTGATGGTGGAATTGTTTTTGTTGCCGACAGGTCAACGGCTGAAGCTTTCTCAGGGCGCCGTTTGTGGGCGGTATTGTTTTGTGGCTGATATGTCAACAGCTGAAGCTTTGCAAGGGCGCCGTTTGTTGTTGGAGTTGTTTTTGATGCTGACAGGTCAACGGCTGAAGCTTTCCAAGCGCGTTTCTTTTTGGCAACATTGTTTTTGTTGCTAGCGTTCCAAGGGCGCCGTTTGTTGGTGGAATTGTCAACGGCTGAAGCGTTCCAAGGGCGCCGTTTGTTGGCGGCATTGTTTTTTGTTGGTGATAGGTCAACACCGTTTGTTGTTGGAGTTGTTTTTGATGCTGACAGGTCAACGGCTGAAGCTTTCCAAGCGCGTTTCTTTTTGGCAACATTGTTTTTGTTGCTAGCGTTCCAAGGGCGCCGTTTGTTGGTGGAATTGTCAACGGCTGAAGCGTTCCAAGGGCGCCGTTTGTTGGCGGCATTGTTTTTTGTTGGTGATAGGTCAACACCGTTTGTTGTTGGAGTTGTTTTTGATGCTGACAGGTCAACGGCTGAAGCTTTCCAAGCGCGCTTTGTTTTGGCGACATTGTTTTGTTGCTAGCATTCCAAGGGCGCCGTTTGTTGGTGGAATTGTCGGCTGAAGCTTTCCAAGGGCGCCGTTTGTTGTTGAGTTGTTTTTGATGCTGATAGGTCAACGGCTGAAGCTTTGCAAGGGCGGCGTTTTTTGACGGGATTGTTTTTTGTTGCTGATAGGTCGGTCAACGGCAGAAGCTTTCCAAGAGGGCCTTTTGTTGGTGGAGTCGCTTTTGATGCTGATAGGTCAACGGCTGATTTTTGTTGCTGACAGGTCAACGGCTGAAGCTTTCTAAGGGTGCTGATAGGATCAGCTTTGTTGTTGGAGTGTAGATCCCAAAGTCTTTTCCACCTTGTGTCCTGCCGGAATGTGTCCGGCCACTCCTTCGCGGGGCTTTGCAGCCAGGCTGCAGGTGTGACAGGCCAATAGAACAAAGTCGGGAAAAGGGCTGGCTCTGAGGGTTGGAGAAGCTTCTTGGCGCGTCTGGTGGAGAGTGGAATCTTGCGTGGTGCTCACCGGTGATGCAGCCATTTTGGCAGTTGGTAATTAGGCTGGTAGGCCCCAGGATTTGGAGATGATTGCAATGTGGAGATGCGTTTTCTCGCAACTTGTGCTCTCATGTTTGGTCTTCTTGCCACTGCGGAATGCTGATGGCTTGGCGGACTGTGAAGACTTAGTCGCAATGCAGATGCGGTTGGAAAAGACGACCATCACGACCACGACCACGATGTCAGCTCCCGCACACACAGTGAAGTTCACCAGCAAAGGCGGAGAACTGTGGGCCTTTGTGGCAAAAACGTTTTCCGAAGCGCGGACAGAAGCCACCAATCAGTTGAGGATGAAAGGCTGGTTGAACGCTCATGCCCAGTGTGAGCTGTGTTGCGCTTCAGCTCCACAAAACTTTACTTGTTGCTTCCAGTTTTTCTGGGTTGGGAGCGCCCTCTCACAAGAGGCGGAGGATGGCCTGCAAGGCAATGTGCCAGACGTGGGGACTTCGCTTGAAGTGGTGTTCAAAGCGGAGGAGAACCTGGACTCGGACGTGGTGAAGGTTGTTCGGAATTCAGGGCTGTCAGCCGAGCAGCAGCACACTTCGCTGCAGAATCTCCAAGACGCTTTGCGGAATAGCATTGTAGAAAAAGCGTGTGCAAACAAGAACGTGGTTTGAGAACTGGACTCTGATGTTTGTGTACTTTGTTGGTTCAACTGCGGGCTGCACCTTCCACTTTGAGTCGGTGAAATGGTTGCTCTAAAGACCCTCTAAAGTCGCCGGTGTCAATGATGAAGACAACCTAAGGAGAGAGGCATCTCTTCTTCCTCACAGCTCATCCGTGAAAACCCCAAGGACATCTTTGGAGGGTCAGTCTCAAGAATGGCCTTGAACAAGTTGACCCAGGCGCAGACATCTGCAGAGTCCCAGCAGGTCGCAGCCGCTAAGGCTGGGGCATCTCCGCAGAACAAACCCTCGCTGTTTTGATGTTCTTGTAAAGACTACTGTTTCGTTGTCCGTCAGGCGAGCCTGATCCCTAGTGCCGCCGACGAGGCTGCCAAGGTTCAAGCTATGACAGCGGGGATGGCAGCAAAGCTTGCGCAAGCCCGACAGGAGATGGAGCAACTTGAACTTATTGGAAGATAACGCTCAACCTCCCATGAGGCTCACATTAGGTGTTTCGCATCTTTCGAAAACATGGTCATGCGCCGCGTACGCGCGACACACCTATCCACTTGATCCCTTGGTCATATTCCGTTGAGTTTTGGGCGAGACTTCTCCAATGTGTGGACAACCCTCAACAAAAAGCAGCGTGCGGTCTGCAAAAAATGGTATTGACACAGACTGACCCAGAGGCGGCGAATCTGAACTCATTTGTCTGAGGCAGGTGGTAGCCAATGGCCAGGGCCACGTCACTGCGCAAGCTGAGCAGCAAATGAACAATGTGCTAGCCCAGTTGAGGGCCATCTCAGTGGATGACGCAGATTTGAGCACAGACTCTGCATTGACGTCTTTGAATACGGCGATTGCCTCTGGTGGCTTTGTGGGCGGTAGCAAGCTCTTACCGAGCCAACTCATCTCCTTCAACGGAGTCTTCCGGGGCATTGCTTTGATGATCGGCGGTGAGCTGCGGGGCCAAGCCGTTGAGTTCCGATCATCTTATGCACAGATGCCCCAGGATCAGCTGATGCAGCTCTACGAGATGCATCCTGAGGTCAATAGTCAGGAGAGGGCGTCAAAGGCTCGCTTTCACCTTCTCGCATTTCAACTTGGTTTAATTTGCGATTTGAAGGCTGTTTTTTCCCGGTTCTGACAACCGCACAGGCCTCATGCCCCATACTTTCGCAGGAGATGTATCTGGAATCCGAGTTTGCCAGCGACCTTCAATATGCCAACGGCATGGTGGAGGCTTATGGGCAAAGTGCCTTCTCTGCTTCTGTGGACAGTTGGCAAGCAGGATTTGATGTCGCCAGCAGTGGCTTCAGCGGGGCACTAAGTCAAGTTGTGCGAGACAAGGGGCTGCGTTTTCGGCAGTGTCAACCTGCCCCAGAAACATCACCTGTGTCGACTTAAGCTCAACACCTTGTGTTTGCTGTCGCGAGTTCCTGAGCCCACATTTTCCCGATATGCTCGGCCGTGCTCTTACCACTTGCTCAACTTCTGTTTACATTGTACCTTGTTGTGCTTGATCTATGTCCCTAGTTTGCCTTGATGTAAACAACACTTTTGTGTCCTTATCGCCCCACCAACACCTCTTGCTATTTAGTTCAAGCTTGATTCAATCAGATTGTCAACTCCAGGTGGCGGAGGCTCCGGCGGTCAGAGCAGTTCCAAATCTGGTGGGTCTGCGCACAGTCGTCATAATTCCGAGTCGGAAAAGATGAAGAAGAAGATCACCAGTTTGTACAAATCTCAATACTTCTTTGAGCCTAAAATGACATTGGCGATTAGTGAGGATATGCTGCAGCTATCTCAACAGTTTCGGGCTCGCTGTGATGCAGCTTCCTACTCACTTTGCAAGTCCATGGATTTGGAAAACTGCAATCAATGGCTTGCGACCCCTGAGGTAACCCCACAGAACCCAACAAACAAGACCAACAAGACCGAGACAGAGATGTCTTTGGGCTTGACGGCTATTTTGACCAACGTGAACTGGAACGCTTTCGCCAACAACCCAATCCAGTCTGCCTTTGAAGACGCCGCAAGGAATTACTTCGTCAGCATGGCTGGTGTTGAAGGGGTGGACGTGCAAGTTTCAACTGCAAGGCCGGGGGCCTACTGGGGTGGAGACAAATGGACGCAGGTTCTGCTCCAGATTTCTGTTGCTCCAGCAAGCTTCTCGGTAAATTCGAATATCATGAAATGGTGGAACAAAGGGGTGCTTCAAAGTGGAATGCTTTCAGCTGTAGAGGCTGCGAGAGGGATGAGTGATGCTCGGGTTGAAAACCAGACTGATCCCAGCCACTATTTACCACGGACCTGGAGATACTTTGTGACGTCTTGGCAGCCGGCAGAGCCCTCAAAAGCAGTGAGCCAGTTCCAAGTTTACGAGCCAGATGTTCGGGCCTTGCTCGATCCAACATCATCAGCGGAGCAGCTGGTTCTCTCGCTGATCTATGACTATGGGACTCACATTTGTCCCAAGGTCACCTTGGGTGCTTGGTGGCGAATCACGGCCAGATACGTAAGTACTGTGGATCAGGAGCGATTGGATGTGGAACAGGCTGCAACATCATACATCACCAAGGCTGAAGCTGAGAGCTGGGCATATGATGCCTCTGCTGCTGGATCTTATCGGGGGGTAAGTGGTGGAGCATCTGCTGGCCAGGGAAGTAGTGGCGGGAAGGGCAAAGGCAGCAATTCTACTTCCGGGGCAAAGGAAGAGACACTCATTGCCATGAAGAATGCCACTATGAACGTTGAACAGGTGTGGCAGGGTGGTGCAGAGGGAGTCTCTCCATTGGATTGGCGCCGGAGTTTGGATGAGAACTTCAATTCCAACTGGAAAGTGATCGAGCGAGATTTGACCCGCTGCGTGGGCTTATGGATGTATGTGGAAGATCCATACTTGTCCCAGGCTTTGTGCTCTACGTGGGTTTCAAAACTCCTCCAAAGCTACAATCTCACAAGTGATTCTGTGCCGTTGCAGTTGCAAACGGCAGCTTGCACTACAACCAGAAACATGCAGTACCTCATCAACTTTGCTCAGAATGTCTCTGCAGCCATGCAAGAGCAGGAGTATGCCTCCCTGGCGTCCGAGTGTGTCTTGAAGCACCCAGGCAACTATTGGAGCCCTCCCAACACCTGCATCCCAAAGCAGTGCTTCTGCACCCTGAAAGGTGGCACTGTCGCAAATGGTACGACAGGTAAAGACTGCCCTCAGCAAGGCGATCGGGATTGCGTTGGCTGTTGCTTGGAGTCGCAGCGGGGCACTTGCAGCAAGCCCACAGCTTGCGCCAGCGGGGACATTCTGAAGCCGAAGGCGTGCGTCTTTTTGGTCAAATGGGGTGAGATGTTATCTAAAAGGTAACTGTACAGGCAAACATGTCTCCCTAAGCCTCTCAGCAGCTCAGTCGAGGCTAATACCCTGAAGTGCCAGTGAGCCACGTGCGACGTGCTTTATGATGCGGCTACTTGCTGTCAGCCCAGCGGGCTTTCTTCTCAATTCCGGCTGACCTTTCAAGTGAAGGATGGGAGTGTTTCTGGCACAGACAGTCAGATTTATGCAAAACTGCAAGGGAACACCGCAGAAGGAGGCACGTGGAAAGGCGAGCTGAAGTTAATGAGCGCAGCGGATGATGACTTCGAAGCAGGAGAGAGGTATCGCTACCCTTATAGTACCGTTCCTGCAGGTATTCCTTCAGAAGTATGTGTTGAGAATGCTGGAGATGATGAGCTTGAATTGGACTTTGTGATGGTGGAGAACACTCTCGCAGGACTTACGGATGTGAATTTGGGCAAGGTGGGCAATTGGCCTCCCTTGAGTAGCGATAAAACGGACCAGAAGGAGGATGGGGCTGTGAAGGAAAAGTGCCTTCCACTCATAGCCCCCAATCAGCGTGCCAGAAGTGCCGCGTGATGCTGATTTTTGGTCAGATTCTATCTGAAGAACAGCCGGGCTCGGCTTCTGCGCCGCAATAGACGGTGGGTGCTGCATTGCAAAGAAAGAAGCTGTTTGCGCTCAAAGTTGCTGAAGAATCAGACGATAAGTAAGGTAGCATGTCGTGGCTCAGATGAAGGAGGGGCCGAGCGCGGGGCTGCGCATGCGGGAATCGATCTTTCAACAGCCGTGTTGACGACGTTGCTACCTTTTGCGCAAACCACCTTCCAACAAAGCCACAGGGATCAAACTGAGATGTCCTTCGCTGTGCTTAAGCGCAAAGATGTAGCATGAGACAGATACAAGTCGTGCGGCACATGTGCCGCCTTCATAAACCATAAGAGTGATTCTGAGCTATTACACCTTTTGTAGTTTCTTCAGCCAGTTTTGGGCTTATTGTGAAGAAAGCATGTGTTTTATACCCTTGCTCCCAGTAACATGGCACCTGACAGGGGGCTCATTGAAGCGGAAAATGACCTTCCAAGGTACCCTCCCACAAATGATATGTTAGTGAGAGGAGGAGTAAAACTTATTGAAGGTCGCAGTCATCGTGAGCGCAATCCCTATACGTACCATTAAAATAGCAATGGTCTCTAACCTTTGCATCACCCTCTTTACACTTACAGCCACAAGTGAATATGTTTCTAAGACAGTTTTAGTTTCTTGTCTTCAGCTTTGGGCAAGCTAGTTGAGTTGACCGGCGCGGACAGCGCAGCGCGGCCTGGGCGGGTTTGTGTCCGTGGTACAACAAAGCAGCCGTCAATAGTCTTTCTAGTAAAAACATCCATGCAATCCTCACCTCCGTGTAAGTATGGTCCTGACGAGCCATAAATGTTTGGCAACATTCATCATGGAACCACAGAGGGTATGCTTTTGCTGTGAAGCTGTGTGTTTAACTGAGGTAGAAACTGAACCGTGTTTTCAGCCAGGCATTCAACATAAGCATACCACAAATGGAGCCTTTACCTTCTTGTAGTGACATTGTAGTTTTTTTTTGTTTTGATGTGATATTTATTTGGATCTTCTGGGCCTAGCTCTGGCATTTTGATTTGTTGCCCCTCAGTAGCCACACAGCCATTATTAAGATGTGTATTCAATAGCTCTTCTGGACCAAAACACCAACAGAGCAATCTCTACAAAAGTGATTACTGATTGTCTTTTTGTTGTTTTGCACTGACATCAGTCTACAATAGCTCTTGGCGGAAACATGGTGTGATTGTTTCAATTTCATAAGTAGCATTTACCACTGTGCTTTGTTTGTAAAGTAGGATCGTTCGAGAATGCAATTCAGAACTGATACGATAAACACATTGATACCTGACCCTCATTGTTGTTTTCTCGTCTTTGCATGTCAGCATTTGCTGAAGGACACTTTGCACCATCCCAGTTTAAATCATCATTAATGGAGTTTCAACTTATTTATTTGTTTGAGTGTTAGTCCACTTTCTGAGTTCTCCATGTTTTCAAGTTCAATTTCAAGGTCAGTTGCCATTTGGTTCATCATTGTTGTTTTTCTTCAACATTGGTAATCTCATACTTGTAGCCAAGTCCACATCTTCACCAGTCTTATTATTACTGGTCAAAGTGGGCAAAGTGGGCGTCGTCTACATTGATACTTTAGAGCCTCCGGCTCAGTCCGCCGACATTGTCCTCTCCCTTTTCTTCTTCTTCTGCCCTGTCTCCCTCGTGCGTTCTGGCGTCCTCTCTCCCTCCCTCTGCTCCCCATCCTCCCCATCCCCCCAAGCCTCTCTCTCCTCAATCTCCCTCTCTCTCTCTCTCTCTCTCTCTCTCTCTCGCTGTCTCTGTTTCTGTGTCTCTTTCTGTCTCCCTGTCTCCTTCCTGTCCACGCCCCTCTACAGAAAAAGGGCACCCTAATTCGAACCTTTCTACTCTCTCACTTTCTTGCTCTCTCTCTCTCTCTCTCTCTGTCTTTCTGTGTCTCTCTTTCTCAGTCTCTGTTTGTCTCTCTCTCGCTGTCGCTCTCTCTGTCTGTCTCTTTCTCTGTTTCTCTGATTCTGGCTCTGGCTCTGTCTCTGTCTCTCTCTCTCTCTCTCTTTCTCACTCTCTGTGTCTCTCTCTCTCTCTCTCTCTCTCCCTCTCTCTCTCTCTCTTTCTCACTCTTTGTGTCTCTCTCTCTCTCTCTCCCTCTCTCTCTCCCTGTCTCTCTCTCTCTCTCTCTCTCTGCGTTGCAGTCACGTCCCCCCCTGAGTTGCCTCGATGTCCGGGCACGGCCCCTGCATGACCCGGAACTGTCATCTCACTACTGGCTTTCCCCTTGATTTCCCCTTCATGTCCTTTTCACGTTTCCCATGATGTCCTGGTCCTGTCCCTTCCATGCCGTTCAACCCCCCCTTCATGTCCCTGACATTTTTCCATGTACGTCCCGTTCTTTCGTTGCGAGTCATTTCCCTACATCTCCCGTCGTGCCGATTGGTTTCCTTGTGCGTTGTTTCCCTTTCCTTCTCCCTGCACTCCCCTTGTTTTCATTTCTGTCCCGTGCATGTCCCTTTCAGTTCCCTTGGTTTCCCTTTCGTGTCCCGCTGCTTTCCTGTCATGTCGACTTCCTATTTTTTCCCTCATTTCCTTGCACTTCCTTGCTTTGCTCCCCAATATTTGCCGCCAAAAACACGGTTTTTTCCAGCGTTTTCGCAATTAGGACGTCCAAAAAACACAGAGTTTTTCCAGATTTTCGGCAAAAGGAGGCAGGAACCCCAAACCAGCAAAGAGCTGGCAGGGGGAATCGAGCCTGGGACCCCTGTTTTGCGACACCGGCTCCCCGAAGACTACGTTTAGTGGAACGTCATCAAACGGGGGGGGACTAAGGGGGGGGTTATCTTCTATCCTCTCTTAGGTATCCGACACGCCGAACAATGTCGGCGGACTTTCATTTGATTTTGGTCTTTGTTGTATTTCTCAGATTGGGTTCTTGACACTTCAAGTATGATACGCCTTCAATGCCCGTGACCTTGATGTCGGTTATTGAGTTTTTGTTTGCATAGTTGCCAAATGCTTTTTCTTTGGGGTTATTTTTGCTCTGTGGTTTCTTTGGATTGCTGTTCTTGTCAACTCTCAGCCATGCTACATCTTTCTTGGTTGTTAGATCGTGACGCTTGTATTCAATGGTTTCTTGTCTGATATGAGCCTGTTTGTGTTGCATCTGTTTCTTCCAGCGCCAAGTTTGAAATTATGTCCACGCCCTTATTGGTGACTATTTCAGCACGACTAGTGCTTACTAAAGAATCTAGAACATTTCTCTCTGAACCGCGAACTGTCAGGTTCCATCTTGCGTTACATGGTGCTTCGCGGACACTAGCAGGGCCGCCATGCTTCTTCTGATGAAGCAATATCAAAATCATCTTGAACCAGCTGTTACATTTGGTTGAAGGTGTTGATGTCAATTCATGTTTGCCCATCAATGAACATACATGGCACAGTGTCTATCTTACTATATAGGCGGTATGTATTTAAGTGTTTTAGGCTGTGTCAAGATTTTAGGTGATCGGTTGGAGTGCTGGCGTCAATCTGCGATAATGCCATAAGGAAAGTATGCTGCCCAAATACTACATCTGCGACAAAGTATAATGATGACTTTGGATGGTTTGAAGTGAAGGCGTTGTATTTGCGATGATGTGATGATTGGGTGTTAAGTGTAATAGCTCATTGCAGCATAAACGTTGCGTATGATAAAGAGGTATTCAGCTCCCTGAAAAGGGAGGGAGTTACCCTAAAGATTTTGGGTTGCTTCGGTAAATTGGCATGATACATCAACAAACCAAATCCCAAACTATTCCACAATCCTACCCCCTTTTCTCTTTCACCACACAAGCCACGCTCTGGTTGAATGGCTTGACCGCAATATCAAGCTTTGAAGGCTGTTGTGCCCCTTCACTGTCTCCAGTTTTTGTTTGAGCTCATCGCCGAAAGTCTGTCTTGGGTCAATACGCATGCTGTTGGATCTGGTTGATGAGCACTAGCTCATCCGAAAGGAATGTGAAGGGTAGTATAACACATATATTACATATATTTAATATAGAGCATATCACTGGGATAAGTCATATTTGAATATCATATATGGGATTGGGGATGAATATTTTAGTAAGCAGTGTTTTTGGTTAGTGTAAACTATAAAGGTTTGTCTTGCTTAATGTGCCGCCTATTGCCAAAATCGATTTATCCAAAGTCTGGTTGAAACCATTCCTATCTTTGAAGTCCGCTGTATGCACCTTCAGATCTGCATCGTCAATCTTGACTTCATAGCCTCAACATAACAGCTTTGAAACATTATGGGGAGAAGTGAATGCCAGGATGTAGGATTGGAGCTGGGTTGAAGTTATTGCCAAACGTCAACAAACTCTGATTGAAGCGAATTCCGAAAGTCAAGCACTTTTTGTTTTGATGACTGATTGAAGATTGCGTCAACCAAAAAACATCGTTGCAAATCCTCATTGTCATTGCTGATTGGTCTGCATATGTGTGTGGTCATCCTGCAAATAGTAAGTGGTATGTGGATGTGGTTTTAAGCATTGTGGCACATCACATCCAAAATCACCTTTAAAAGTAAAAAAAAACATGTGGATGATCGCATACTTCAATGTTGACCGACACATGGCAGTGTCCAACCCTACGAAATTGCGTCGCCACTTTTGATGCCAATGGCAACCTCCACCTGCCTCGTGATGTCGGATGACAAACGCGCAGCATGCATCATATCTGCACCGCGCGTCAAAGCCTGTCCAAGAAAATCACAGGCTTTGTGAATTGACTCCAACACTCGGCAGGCTGAGTATTCAGAGAATCAAGCTAAGCTGCGAAGTTTAGCGCTCATGAAGGATGCCAACAGCCCTCACTCAGCCAGTCGCCCTGTGCCACGTAGAGAGACAATCAGCTAGCTATTCGATTTTTGGCGTGGCACTGCGCACAGCATCAAAAGAGTCCAGAGGAAAAATGCCGCTGCAGACCATTGGGTATGTGGATATACACCGAACCTTTGCCGCTTTATCTCGCAAGTATGTCACCTGCGTCTATGACACGACATTCACACACCTGTGTCCATTTCAGGGGTTGGCCCACCTGCTGAAAACATGCGCTGTTGGATATTTAGGCATGCAGATTTGACGTGGCTGGAGTAAAGTGTCCGACTGACACGGTCTGCGCAAAGTTGCCCAGTGCTTATGTTGCTATGTCGAAATTGCTTGGGGCATATGTGTCAATTGGGCTGGCCCGCATGTTTGGCACGAGAGTTTGAGCTAGCGTGAGTTGTTCCAGCGTGCAAGACTTCGCCCCGTTCCATTCTGGCGAAGTTGCAAGAGCCGAAATGCTTCCTGCAGAAACGCAGCTGCATAGGGCGCATTGACGTTTTAAATGCATGTGCAAAGCTCGATTTGCTAGGGGCTTCCGCCTTTGCATTTTACATTTGTCCTTGAGCAAAGGACAGGAGGAGTCCAACTTCAAGGGCGTGGGCCAAAGTGTGGATGGGTCATGTGTGAGAGCTTGGCTTGGCCACAATCTTGCCACGACACCGTTATTTTGACAGGGGCCAGCCGTCAGCCCGGTTGGCGCCTTTGGCAGTGAGGGCGCGTTCCACACACCCAGGCAGGGCTGATGCATAAGCCTTCTATGTGTTCGGCTCAGAGCACTCCACTTCACACGCAGGACATTGGAATCTGTGAGCAAGAAGGTGCCAGGGTTTGGCCTGTCATTGCTTGAAATCGAGCATTGCTTGAGGCCTCGATGAGTTCAGGACACTTGGTGTGAAGGGTATAGCGAGTCTGCGTGCGCGCGCCCTTCTGTCGAGGAGAATCCATCCCTTCTGATTTCAGGCGGTCTGTTTTCGATGTGTGTCTCTTTACGAAAGCTGGAGGGAATCTTCCAATCGCGGAGTTAGTGCTGTTTTCGGTTCAGTGAACATCACAGATGCAAGCATCAGCGGTTCCCTTACCTGCCTGCATGTGTAAGATCAAGCTGTTGGCTCTGACCAGGCCTATGGTGGGCTTGCCCAATGAGGCCTTGTGGATTTGACCACAGCACCTTGCGTACTGATTTGGCAGGACCAGAGTTGCTGGTTGAACACGATGATCCAACTGCTTCTGTGTACGCCACGCCTCAGTGAGTCTGTGCAGCCAGATGCCAAGAGTTTGCCCGACAACTGCCAGAATCGGCAAAAGTCTCAGCCTCATGCCTCCACAGCGCTCAGGCAGAGGTGCGCTGTAACGGGGCAGGAGGCACACTTGTCCCAATCTTGTTGCTCACACCATCTTTGTATGTTTGTTTCTATGTATGCATGTTTGTCGTGGAATGAATGCATGCGAAGTAGGTATCTATCTATGTACATTTTAACGCCTCCGGCTCAGGCCGCCGACATTACAGGCCTGCTTTCTTATTTGCGTCCCTTTGGAATTGTCCCCTTGCCCCCCTTCCCCTCTGAGATCTTTGCCCCCCTTTCCCTGTTGAGATCCTTTCCCCCTTTCCCCCCTAAGGCCTTTCCCCCCCCTGAGATCTTCTCCCTTTTCCTCCCTAAGATGTTTTCCCCCCTTTCGCTGTTGAGATCCTTTCCCCCCTTTCCCCCCTAAGGCCTTTTCCACCCTGAGATCTTCTCCCTTTTCCTCCCAAAGATCTTTTCCCACCTTTCCCTGTTGAGATCCTTTCCCCCCTGTCCCCCCTAAGGCCTTTTCCCACCCTGAGTTCTTCTCCCTTTTCCTCCCTACGATCTTTTCCCCCCTTTCCCGCTTAAGATCCTTCCCCCCTTTCCCCCCTAAGGCCTTTTCCCCACAAGATCTTCTCCCTTCTCCTCCCTACTTTCCCTGTTGAGATGCTTTCAAGGCCTTTTCAGGTTTTCTCCCTTTTCCTCCCTAAGATGTTTTCCCCCCTTTCCCTGTTGAGATCCTTTCCCCCCTTCCCCCTAAGGCCTTTTCAGGTCTTCTCCCTTTTCCTCCTTAAGTTCTTTCCCCCTTTCCCTGTTGAGATCCTTCCCACCCTTTCCCCCCTAAGGCCCCCCCCCAGATCTTCTCCCTTTCCTCCCTAAGATCTTTCCCCCCCTTTCCCTGTTGAGATCCGTTCCCCCCCTTTCCCCCCTAAGGCCTTTCCCTGTTGAGATCCTTTCCCCCCTTCCCCCCTAAGGCCTTTTTTTCCCCCCCGGGATCTTCTCCCTTTTCCTTTCTAAGATCTATTCCCCCCTTTCCCTGTTGAGATCCTTTCCCCCCCCCTCCCTCCTAAGGCCCTTTTCCCCCCAAGATCTTCTTCCTTTTTGTCCCTAAGATGTTTCCCCCCTTTTCCTGTTGAGATGCGTTCCCCCCCTTTCCCCCCTAAGGCCTTTCCCTTCCTGAGATCTTCTCCCTTTTCCTCCCCAATATTTTTTCCCCCGGTTGAGATCCTTTCCCGCTTTGCCCCCGAGATCTTCCTCCCTAGGATCTTTTCTCCCTGTTTCTGTTGAGATGTTTTCCCCTCCTTTCTCCCCTTAAGGCCTTTTCAGATCTTCTCCCTTTTCCTCCCTAAGATCCTTTGCCCCCTGTCCCTGTTGAGATCCTTTCCCCCTTCCCCTAAGGCCTTTCCCCCCCTGAGATCTTAGCCCCCCCTGAGATCTTCTTGCTTTTCTATTCTTTCCCCCTTTCCCTCCTAAGGCCTTTTCCCCCCCTGAGATCTTCTCCCTTTTCCTCCCTAAGATGTGTTCCCCCTTTCCCTGTTGAGATCCTTTCCCCTCTAAGGCCTCTTTCCCCCAAGATCTTCTTCCTTTTCCTCCCTAAGATCTGTTCCCCCCTTTCCCTGCTTAGATCCTTCCCACCCTCCCTAAGATCTTTTCCCTGTTAGCCTTTTTCCCACCAGATCTTCTCCCTTTCCTCCCTAAGATCTTTTCCACCCCTTTCCCTGTTGAGATCATTTCTCCCCTTTCCCTCCTAAGGCCTTTCTCCCCCAGATCTTCTCCCTTTCCTCCCTATAAGGTCTTTCCCCCCTTTCCCTGTTGAGATCCTTTCCCCCCTTTCCCCCCTAAGGCCTTTCCCCCCCTCCCTTTTCCTCCCTAAGATCTTTTGCCACCTTTCCCTGTTGAGATCCTTTCCCCCCTAAGGCATTTTTCCCCCCCGAGATCTTCCCCCTTTTCCTTCCTAAGATCGTTTTTCCCCTTTCCCTGTTGAGATCCTTTCCCCCCCTTTCCCCCCTAAGGCATTTTCCCCCCAAGATCTTTTTCCTTTTCCTCCCTAAGATGTTTTCCCCCCTTTCCCTGTTGCGATCCTTTCCCCCCCTTTCCCCCCTAAGGCCGTTTCCCCCCAAGATCTTCTTCCTTTCCTCCCTAAGATGTTTTCCCCCCTTTCCCCGTTGAGATCCTTTCCCCCCCTCTCCCCCCTAAGGCCTTTTCCCCCCAAGATCTTCTCCCTTTTCCTTCCTAAGATCTGTTCCCCCGGATCCTTTCCCCCCCTTTCCCCCCTAAGGCCTTTTCCCCCCAACATCTTTCCCTTCCCCCCCCCCCCCGATCTTCTCCCAGTTCCCCCAAAGATCTTCATTTCCCTTCACTTTCCTTCACTTCGGCTCATGTCCCTTTATGTCTGCTTTTGTTCCCTTTCTTTCATTTCACTTCATGTCATTCATTTCCACGCATTTTCCTGCATTTCCAGATGTTCTTCACCAGCATCCCCAGCATCACTTGCATCATCCGCATCCTTGGCAGGCGCTGATGCGGATGTTGCAGGTGATGCTGACGATGTTCCCCAGGAGGTGCTAAGGATGCAAGAGCGGACCTGGGGGGAATCGAGCACGCAAGGATTTAGTGGAACGTCTTGGAATCACCGCGTGGTACGTGAAACCCCCCCCCCCCCGCAATAGTCTGAAACCGTGCCCCTGGGGAGGGGTAAGGGGAGGGGTAACAAGTAAAGAGGTAAGGAGCATTTCTTATGTCCAACACGTCTCCTGTTCGGCGGATAACGCAATGCAACTGAACGTCAAGAATTGTGAAGTGATGCCATGTGGCGTGATGTGATGCAATCTATCTAGTGTATGTACGCACGTAATTGCAAAGCAGCGTAATTTAACATTGAGATTTAGTGTCATGTAAAGCAGTATAAACGTTGTATATGTATACGCGTATATATATATATATATTTTTATGTATGGTACCCTTTCTGGAATACTCAGGTTTTGACCAGGAATTGACATTTGGGCTGCCAAACATGCATGTAAAAGAACACGTTCCAAAATGAGGCTTTAAAAGTGGATTGAAGATTTCTGACAATTCTTTCTGGAGATCTGGCAATCCAGGGTGCGCATGTGCTAGCACGTGCTAGCGCATCCTGGATTGAAGATTGAAGATTCTCTGACAACTCTCTCGGGGATTCTTCAATCTTCAATCTTCAATCCAGGATGTCCTGGATTGCCCTAAGTACATATTTGAAGAATTCCAGAAAGAGTTGTCAGAGAATCTTCAATCTTCATTGGGGGGAAAATGTTGTTGACACCTTTACAGTTGTTTTGTGGATTTGAGGGCTGGCCAGGATGGAAGATTCTCAAATACAAAATCTGGTCGATCTTCAATCTTCAATGCAAGGGGGTCGTTGGCCAGGATTGATGATGTTCTAAAAATATGTTTGTGGAATCTTGTATATTCGACCTTCGATCCAGGGCAACACAATCTGAGCAAATGCCGAAAAACACTGTAGCATTTCTGCCAGGAATAAGATCTATGATTGAAAACACTTGTCATTGGCTTGGCTCAGTTCTTGCTTGGTTCAAGCCACAAGAATTTCGATAAGGACAACAACCCCTTCAAAATTGAGTTTGATTCCGAGTTCACTTTGGCCATGACAATAGTTATCTTCTCCAGTTGATTTTTGAAATGTGCAAGACACTGCAAACAATTAATATTGAATTTGGTTTGAACTCCAAAGCGTTTTACACTGGATATCCTTCCTTTAATTGAGTTTCAATAGTTGTTATTGGCGATGATTGAATCAACTTCAACACACAACTGAGATAGTTGCTTTGCAAAACATGTTTCAAGTTAACATGTAAATGAAACTGCGCAAGGACATGAAGTAGGAATGAGTTCCTTTTCCCCAAGTTGATGTTTTTCTGAATTTCGCTGCCAAACAAAAGTAATACAACACCAAATAATAGAGCTGCTACGGGCGCCTTGAAGCTGCCAAAGCATACTTCGCGCACTACTCTTGTGCTGAAAAGTTGTGCTTTTTGAGCTGGAGCTGCCACAGTGCACTTTGCATACTCCAATGTGACTTTAAGTGCACTTCGCGCACGCCAATGTGATGTGACGGTCACACAATTCGTATTCAACGTTCTGCTTGGTTGGAATTTGCATGGAGTTGCGCCTCCAGTTCATTTCAGAGTCTTGTCAAGAGATAGATATATGTATATGGTCCCGTCCTCCGCCCTCCTACAAACCCTCACGGTGCCCCCCGCCCCAAGAGGTTCCCCCCCAACCCGAGCCCCCGGACCCCCACGCCCAGCCCCCTCTTCAAGACACGTAGGACAGCTGTAGGACAACTCAACCAACCCTAGACCCCAACCCTAAACCGATCCTACACCCTTTGCCCTTAACCTTAACCTTAAACCAACTTTAAATCAACCCTAAACTAATTCTAAGACCAAACCAAAACCAACCCTAAACCAACCCTAAACTAACCCTATACCCGCCCTAAACCCACCCTAAACCAACCCTAAACCAACCCTAAACCAACCCACTCAACCACCCTGTGTGTGTGTGCCCACCATCTATATATTATGTATTTTCCCAACAGCTCAAAGGGGTGGTCGCAGCCCTGAGCTAAGGTTCCACGAAACTCTTACCAGGATTCCACCAGGGTAGTGCGACCACTACATGCTGTTGGGGATATCGCCTGAGCTTATTTCCCCCCCCCAAACAACAACACCAACAACACCAACAACACCAGCACCACCACCACCACCACCACCGACAACAACAACAACAGCAACAGCAACAGCAACAGCAACAGCAACAACAGCAGCAACAGCAGCAACAGCAACAACAGCAACAACGGCAACAACAGCAACAACACCAACAGCGGCAACAACACCAACAACACCAACAACACCAACACCACCACCACCGCCACCACCACCACCACCACCAACAACAACAACAAAAACAAAAACAAAAACAAAAACAAAAACAAAAACAAAAACAAAAACAAAAACAAAAACAAAAACAAAAACAAAAACAACAACAACAACAACAACAACAACAACAACAACAACAACAACA